ATCACCCTTGCTGTCATCCTCACCCTCACTGTCACCCTCACAGTCAGCTTCACAGTCACAGTCGCAAGCTGGGTATAATCACTGATAATTCCGATAAACCTTGATGTTCATTCTCAAACCCCCTGCAGATATAAGGTCCCAACATCTCAAATCTCCTATCTACCGTTTATTGAGTGATTTAATATCCATCCATCCATCAAACAATCAATTTATCCATCAAGAATTCAAAGTAACATATTATTGAGAAAGTAAGGTTAGATGGTCTCTGAAGCAATTTAGGTTTAGGGGTTTTTCTTAAGGGCCAAACTGACACATGGGATATGAACCAGCGACCTTCTGATCATAGCATGGGGTCCTAACCTGCCGAGCTATAGATTTTAAAATGGCTTAAGGGTTTATTCCAGTCCCACTGTTTTTTAAACCCCAAAAATAAAATCTCCGTCCCTCCCTGGGCTGTGTGGATGCGTTTGCCTTCCGACTGCGGGTATCATCATCATCATGATCATCATCATCATCGGCATGCTGCACCCACCTGAAGAAGCCTTTGCAGCCCTCACAGGTCATGGCATTGAAGTGGAAGCCGGTGGCCTTGTCCCCACAGACTCCGCAGACGCGCGGCACGTTGCGGTCAAACTCGTCCGGGCTGGATGCCGAGGTGCTCACTGCCATGGCTTCCATCACTGCGGGCAGGAGAGGGCGACGCAGGTCACTGGAAGCTCAGAACACCTTCAAGGTCACTCACCACGTCTGCTAGAGATGATGCTGGGCCAGCAAGCCCACATGCTCTGGTCAGCTACCACGGTCCACGGGGCATGAATGTGGGGATGGAGATCAGAGGAAGCAGACAATTTGGGCTGGGGGGGGGGGTTGGTAAAGGGGAGACTTTAACCCTCTGGACTCGACGGCATCGTCGACGATGCAGAGTATCTTTCTCGTGTGTTTCAGTTCATAACTCGCTGAAATCTTATTATAGAAACATGAAAAAGATGCAGACTAAATCCGTAATCGGTCTTCTTTTCAAAACTTCCATTGTCGGAAGTATTAAAGTTTTTAAAATTAAAAAAAAAAGTAAACCATGTCACCTTTCTTTGTTTTACCTGCATCGGGGGCGTGTAGTACCGCTCTCACCCGAAGATCGCTATTCACATTCTAAATAGCCGCAGTAGCGCGTATTCAAATTGCATTCGCATGGTAATGTGATGAACAACGCAGCAGTGAAACGCGATCCAGATACGTCCCCATCAGCGCCATAAAAGGGGGGGAAGATGTGGCCAGGTGTCAATGGCTCATTCATACACATGAAAGTTGCTACATATTCAATGAAAGGAGCCAGAAATACTGACACGAGTTCGGTTTTTCTTATTTATTTATCCAACTGAATGTAACAACTACACCATTTAGTCATCTTCATGTAGCCAAGACTTTGCTGATCAGATATCTGGGATCAAAACAAACTGCCAGCATTGCTTACTATGTACTTTTATAATGTTTCTACAATTGTTCCAAACTGCATTTTGCAATGTCTATACTTTGATGTCAAATTACAAACTTAACATAAATCTGACATATTTACAAAGTACACTAAGATAAAGATGAGTTTAAAGTCAAAACAAATATATAAGAAATAATTTATCTGCCATGAATTAAGTTTATGATATTGAATGAAATGTTTGACCATGCCCCAGTCAGTGAAAGTGTGTTCCCTACCCCGAGACTCCAGAGGGTTAAGGGACAAAACATAATCCACACAAGACCTGGCTCTTCACAAAGGAGTACTTTTTAACAGAGCCTCTTATAAGGCCTGGACAGCAGCCTTAAGTAAGGCAGAGAGTATTTAGCAGGATCTGCCAGGGGACAGGGGCGGCCTGGAGGAACAGGGTGGAGGAACAGGGTGGAGGAACAGGGTGGAGGAACAGGGCGGAGGACAGTCATTCAGAGTCTCTCCACTCACAACACTGTTGGCTTTTAGCTTGACTTCACCTCGGGCTACACTGAAAGGTTAATGCTCAGGCAAACAAGGCACCCTGATTTCATGGAAGTGCATGTCACTCTCCAGACGGGGGAGGAGAGTATACGAGGCCTTTCCTCACCTAAGCAGAGGTTTTCACCCACCACAAGAAAAAGAGCTTGCAATTAACCTGTTGATGTAGGCATGTATGAAAGCAGGATAGTAGGATGTAGGAGGTAGGGTGGTAACAGGGCAGGCCTTGGCTACCAGACGCTGATTAAGCCTTTCAGAGAGCAAGGGGGAAGCTGAACAGCCTTTAATTCTACAGACTGGTTTCAAGGGGCTTTATTCTACATCTACAGACCCCTCCAAAACCCCACCCCACCCCACCCATAAGCCCTTGAAAAAGCGTATCTGTCCCCTGAGAACTGCTGTTCCCAAATTAAACTATCCAACTGCCAAAACCTCACGGTTGAGCAGGCAGTAAACATATGAGAGGGGCAGAGCGGTTTGCTCAACATCCGCATTCGGGTGGGGGGAGACCTGCATGTCTGGCAAAGTGCTGAATAATTGAGAAGGCGGTAATGGCCCCCTCCATCATCTCACGGGAGGGGCGCTGTGCCCACGCCGCCGCTGCGGTGAACGCGGCCGAGAGCGTGGCAGCACTGTGAGGGCCCCGTTCTATGGGAGGGGGTCAGGTAACCAGGAGGTACTGGAACAAACAGATCATCACCAACACATGGGGCTGGGAAGCATCCATGCAGCATTCTAAATGGGAATCAGCGGGCAGCACACTGCCTAGTCAATAAAACATTTACTGCAACTAACATATCGGGATAGCAGAACACAGTACTGTGTGTGTGTGTGTGTGTGTGTGTGTGTGTGTGTGTGTGTGTGTGTGTGTGTCCACATTGTGATAAAAACCTGTTATTTTGACCTCATGGGGACCATTTATTCAGTGTCCACACAGGAAAACTCAATGTTATAAAAATGTGTGACCACAATCAAAAACCTAAAATAGCTAAAAGTCTGGTATTTTGTTTGTTTACTTATGGTTAAGGTTAGGGCTGGGTAGGGGTTAAGGTCGTCATTGTTGGGATTACGGTTATACCCATAGAAATGAATAGAGTCCCCACAAAAATATAAAGACAAACATGTGTGTGTTTGTGTGTGTGTGTGTGTGTCTGTCTTTTACGACATATTTCTGAGATGGGTGCAGAGATCTCCCCTCTCCCAAAAACATTCCCCTGTTGGTTTTACCAGAACAAACATGACCGATTTTGACAGCCGGCGGTTCAGAGCAGCAGCCCTTATGAGAGTGCATCAGATTCCCAGAGAAATGCAAAACAAACAAACAGTGTAAACACAGAGCTCAGGTGGACGCCTGCGGAGTCAGGCACTGTGCAGGGACTAACCAGGGGCCACCCAGGGGCCCGACTGTGTAAGCCCCCACCCAGCTACACAGAGCCACTGGGGATCTGAGGGGGGAGCCCCAGCTTCCGGAGAGGCCCCCGAGTCGGAGTCTGCCTACTGGCCCTGGGTTCAAAGAGACACCACTGCAGCCCTGAACTTCAGCGCTCCTCTCGATGCCGGCTGGACAGAGGAAGCAGGCATTTGTGGGTGAAACTGGAAAGAAGGGACTGCCATGCCACAACGTGGGAGAGGAGAGGGAGCGTCAGTAGAGCAGGGCTGTGCAGGGAGGACACACCCAAGCGAAGCACTCTGCGTGATCCTGCAGACTGCTTACACACGCACAGCTTCCCGTAAGGACCCCCCCCCCCCACAGTGGAGAGTCCACCTGCGGGGTCAACAACCAGACACACATACGGCTGGTGGCGGCTCCACACAGCCCCTGCGAATGTTTAACCGGCACCCAGCCACAAGAGGGTGGGGGCTGCTGTTGCTGATCATGGCAGATTGGGGGGGGGGGTGGCTGTTCCTGCTCTGGAGTGAGTCTGAGTGTCACGGCGCCACCACTAAGGAACGCTTCACTGGGGCAGTCACTTGGACATCTGCCCCCCCCCCCCCCCCCCCCCCCCC